CCCCACTTCTCTCTCAACACTGCTCCAACTTGCTGTCATTTCCTGCAGGCCCTACCCACTCTCGACTCGAACTCCACACTTCTCAGACATATAGGTGGCAGCGACATCCTCCTGTGTGGAGATGTCACTCACAACCAGAGCTCCTGGAGACGGTACCCTAGCCCTGTGGGTGCCCAAAGTCCTGTGGATGGATGTGGTTCTGTGACTGTCCGTGACCCTGTAGGTTCCCAGTCCTGTGCGTTCTTGTGGTTCTGTGGGTGTCTGTGGCCCCGTGTATGCTTGTGACCTTGGAGGTGTCTGTCCCTGTGTGGGGGATGGTGGTGGTCTCCGTGTGCAGATAATAATGGTCCTGTAGTGTCCAAAGCCCCTGATTGAATTGCCATATGACTTTATGGCCACTAGGGGGCAGAAGAGGGAGCAGGCCCACCTTCCAAGGCGACCTGTCTTCCCTTGTAGAGCCAGTGCTTTGTGCAGGCAAGGGGGTTGGGTGGGGTGGGGGGGAAGTGAGCACAGGAGGCTGAGCAGGGTCACTCCAGGCCAGCAGAGAAATCCTGGCTCGGATCCTAGCTCTGCTGCTACCTCCCACATGGCTTCACCAGCCCAGCCCTCATCTGAACATGCAGAGAGCGCTGGGCCTGCTTAAGGCATTGCCTCCCGATGCGGAAATTAACTTCCTGCCCAGAGAGAGACTGCGCCCACACAGCTGCAGGTCTGGGCCGCCAGACCTGGGGAGTCCTGGAGTCCAGTTGAGGCCTCTCCTACCCTCCTCCTGTCTGCAGATGGGAACTTGAGACCCAGCCAGGGCAAGGGGGCTTGGATGACATTGCACAATAAATTCAAGTCGGGGACAGGACCAGCTGGGCCTGCTTGCCTCACAGAATCATCTCCCAGCCTGTGTCCTCAGCCCAACAAGGGCTCGAGTCCTGTAGAAAAGGGGTTCTGCAGGGCTGGGCAAGAGGCTGCTATCTAGCCCTGAAGGCCTTCCTATGCCAGCCCCGGGTGCCAGGCACTGTGGCTACCAGCCTCAGAAGTCAGAGATCTCACACTGTTTTCTAGGTCTGAGTTGTGGGTACTTCTGGGCTGGGTGGGTATCTGAAATCTCATCCCCAATGCAGGGCCTGGCAGCCATAGGGCGAGAGCGGCTGAGGGAGCAAGCCTCCTCAGGACTTTTCCAGCAGTCTATCTTTGCACCTTCTCTCTCCCCCAGGATGGAGGGGGGATAGCCCCCCAGTTGTCCTCTGGGCCAGCATTCCCCCCAGCTCCCACACAGAGGATAACAGTTCGGCCTGAGCTCCGGGAGAATGAAGTTTGGCAGGAGGGACCCGAGAGGGTGGTCTAGGAGGCTTTCCTTGGCTCTCAGAGACTCAAGTGGGGGCAGCTGTGGACTCTTGCTGGGGCTTCGAGTGTGGCACCCTCCCCCTCCTGGCCTCGGTTTCTCCATGTGTTCAGCAGCCGCTGTGTGTGCAGAGCAGAGATTCTGAAGAGAACCACGAGGCTGCAGGCTCAGCCCAGGACTGGGAAGTCCCAGCTCAAGGATGGGCGGCGAATGAAGGTCTGGGTTATCAGGCCTGGTTTTCCTCTCAACCACAAAATAGGGGCTTATTTTGTGCCTTGGGCAGGTGGCCCAGGCAAGGAGGCCACTGACTGCCATTCTCTCCAGCAGCTCCTCCCATCTGCAAGCAGCATTACCTCATCAGGAAGCCATTCCGGAAAGGAGCTGCAGAGCCCCAAGAGTGGGAGTGAAGAGGGCTTTCCAAGAGCCTCTTTGCCACCCAGGAGCCCAACCAGGACAGACAGCATAGCCCCAGTGCTTGCCCAGTGACCACTGCAGGGAGGTGACCAGGCTGGGTGGGACTGAGTAGGCAGGAAGGACTGCCAGGCCTGAAGCTAGCAGCTTTCGGGTAGGCAGAGCAGATATTTCAAGAGCTGGAACCAAATGGCCAGACACGAGAGGAGTCAGGGACAAATGAAGGGCAGAGTCATCAAGCCCTGACCCTCTCCAGCCTGTGTCCCCTCCTGCAAAGTATAGAAGCGTTGGGCACAGTGAGCATGTGATTGTACCTTGCTGCCCGATGGTACGCATCCGAATCCCAGTGCTGCCGCCAGTTGCACGATCAGGGCTGGGTTAGGAACTGCGGGGACAGCTGGAGGTGAGGGACAGGGTAAAGGTGACCGACCGGAAGAGCTCCCTAGCCCCTGGCCCAGTAGATGGATTAGAGAAAACTCTTGGAACCTTGGTTTTTCTCATCTGGAGAACGGAGCAAGTAAGCGCCCTTCCCCAGTAGTTGAAAGAGATCTGAGAATACAGCCCCTGGCAGACTGGTGCTTAAGGGGGCACAGGGGTAGATCCTCCCCTGCCTGGACCAGGGGCTTCTCCTAAGGTGGACACAAGCTTCTCTCCTTGCCCTAGGGGAAGTGAAATTCTGTCCACCAGCCCCACCCAACCACAGAACTTCCTGCACACCCCACCTTTCCCCAAACCATGCCTGGAGAGCGCCTACGTAGCCTGCAAAAACTCCGGAAGAGATTGGGCCTATCAGGGCTCCCCTGAGAACCAGTGAGGTGCAGGCAAGGGGAAGATGTGGACACGGGTCCAAGGTCAGGCCCGGCATATTTGTGACTGTCCTGGTTACTTATTAGAGAATAACTAGGGCACACTAATGGGCAGGAGGTGTTGTTGGGGACAAGAATTATATATTCTGTGTCTGGGGCTTCAGATTGACGGACCTTAACGAATGCTTGAAGATTCCAAGAAGACAGGAGAAAATTAGAGGCTGGGGTGGAAGGGTTTGTTTGTTTGCTTGTTTGCTTGACTGAATGATTTTGTCTGTGTGCGTGTATCTGTGCACTATGTGTGTGCAGTGCCTGTGGAAGCCAAAAGAGGGCATCAGATCCCCTGAGACTGAGTTACAGACAACCATGAGCTATCATGTAAGGGCTGGAAATTGAATCAGGGTCCTTTGGAACAGTGACCAGTGCTCTTAGCTGCTGAGCCTTCTGTCCAGCCCCTGGTGTAGCCATTTTAGTGCAACAGTATAATACAGTTTTAATGGAGACCCTGATGGGTTCCACAGCCTTCCTTCTGAGTACAGAAAGTCTAGTGAGTTTTGAGGGCAGAGCTGCCAGGTGACCGTGTAGGATGCAGCTTCGTGGGTGCTGAAGATGTCCATGCTGACCCCAGGATCTGTGCGACCCTGGGGCACCTGGAACCCTTAGCTGTCGCTACACCCAGCCCAACTAGTGAGGGAATGGGGCAGGGGTGAGGGTGGGGGTGGGAGGAGGGCAACTGGGGCAGGGCCAATGCAGCAGGAGGTCCGAGAGACAGAGAAAGCAAATGGGCAGAAAGCGGGTCTGGGCAGGACAGGTGGCCTGTGCTGTTTCCATGGCTCCCGGGTCTCTGCCTGCCCAGCTCAGCCTGGGAAAAACAAGCTGGGCACTGAGCAAACACTGCCTGTGGCCGCTGGGACAAAGGCAGGGCTGTTTAGGTGCTCATGGCAGCCAAAGGGCCTCCTTGGCGGAACATCAGTTTAGACTAGGCCAGTCAGGGCTGAGCTGCCACACCCTGTAATGGCCCGTCTCTTAACCTTTGGGGGTGCAAACTGTGGCTGTGGGCTGGAGAAGGAGAGAAGGCAGGGGGCAGGCAGGACTCTAGATCTGCATTCTGGGGGTACTGTTATTCATCTGGCCTTTCACGGCACTAAAAACAGTATTCTTATGTCCCTGGGTGAGAAGCTAGCAGCTCTCTTGCAACACATGAGATCCCTCTCCCCACCCCCAGGGGCATCTCACAGAGTGTGGGAAGTGCACTTTTCGCTGCCACTGGGACAGATGCATCCTTGGCCCCAAGCCAACCGAGCTGGAAGAAAGCACCCTTAGCCGAGATAGCACTCCCAGCATCCTGCAGCACCGCGCCCGGCTGCCCTTGGGTAGACGTTCTGTACTGACTAGAGCCTCCTTTCTCCTGCCTGCTGGAATCCCCTCCCGTGAGAGAGCCCAACTTACATGGAGGCACCTGTGCTCCAGGGCCAGCTTGTGGGAGACGGGAACAGGAAGGGTCTCTGCAGCAGGCTGGTCTGTGGGTAACCAACCATAACTGGGGTTCAGAGAGACTGACTCTATGCCATCTCATCTCAACAGGGAATCTGTGGCAGAATGCCGCTGAGGCCAGTTAGGACTGGAAGATATACAAAGAAACAGGGGCCGGACTGGACTTTTAGGAAAGGGGGTGAGTAAGCATGACCAGAACAAGGGGGTGTTGGTCATCTCAGCTCTGTCTCACTCCTCCCATTCCGAACCCCACCCCTCAGAAAACCCGCCAAGGATCAGCTCCTCCCCCAGAGCTGATCAAAACAATGCCCACAGGGTATTTAAGGCCTGGCTGCCTGACCTGCCACATACTCTCTCTCCTGCCTTCCCGAGAGTCACCTGGGAGTTGCTTCGCTCTGTTTTGCTCTGTTTATTAAAACCCGGTCTTACTAATTCAGTTTGATTTGGATTACTACATTGGTAGAGGATACCCAATAACCAGGGATCTAGAACTTATCAGGGGGTACCATCAGACAACAGCCCTCAGAGCTCCCAGGCCCCAGAGAAGGCACTTTCTCCCCTTCCTGTGCCCCCACAAGATTTAAGAGCATCTGGTACCTTCCCCACTCAGGGTTAGACTATCTTCCAGGAGGATAGTTGGGGCTGGGGCTTATGCAGCTACAATGTGGCCTACTGACCCCAAGCCCTAGTGTGACCAAGAAAGCCAATGATTTCCTGATCAGGGAGATGGTCAGCAATACCAGCAGGCAGGGTCAGGGATGGAAGAAGGATGGATGCTGGGTGGACACTGTAGAGCTGATTCCAAAATGACCACAGAGCTGTCCTCAGCCCAACGGAGTAGGCCCTGACTTTATTCCTGTCACATCAGTCACTGGGCAGGCCTGATCCAGGGACTGTAGCCTTGTGCCCAGGTCAGCTTCTGCAGCTAGAGGCCCACCCTGCAGTGTCCACAGTCAGGGCTGTACATTAGAGGAAGGCTTGTGGCGTGGTTGGGAGGCTCACGGCCCCTTCCTGGGACTCTTCTCACTGCCTGATGCCCTCCACTTGCTCAGGCCGGAATGCAGATGGTAGAAGGTAGTCTAACCCTGAGTGGGGAAGGTACCAGAAGCTCCTCCCCTCACTTTGGTTGCCAGAAGTTTCCCTGTTTTCACACCCTCACCCTGGCCTTGAGTCTCTGTGGTCACCTTGGTCTCGTCCACTAACGCCCCTCTCCGCATCCTCTGCATTACCTGTAAGCCCTTGACCACATGCCCCTTCAGCTCCACCTTCCCACCTGGGCCTCCCCAATAGCCCTCAACAGAGCCTCCCCAGATTCTGCTCCAAGGCTCCTCCCAGCTCAACCCACAAGGTTCAGCCTAGGCCTCCGCCCATCTCAGGGCCATACCCAGCCAAGGTTCTGCCAAGTTCAGTCCAGGGCTTCAACCATTTTAGGCCTCTGCTTAACTCGCCATTTGCCCAGTTCAGCCCTAGGTTCTGCCCAGCCATGACCCCGCCCACCCCAAAGCCCCTTTGCGTCCTCCCAGGATAGGGTTTCCCCAGTTTAGGACTCACCTCTTCACCTATTCTGTTGCCCCGCAGGCTTTGGTCAGCAGATTTGTCACCTTCGCTGTTTTAGGGCAGAGGGTAGGTGGGCTCCCAGCACGCGTGAAATGAGCGTGAACATGCAGGAATGGGTGGGCTAACCCATGAATCACGCCGGTGACTGTGGAGATGGCAGAAGAGGCTCCGCCCAGGTCTTTTGATAGCCCGCCCTAGGCATCCCACAAGGGCAAGCCCTGAGCTCTACAGTCATAACATCAGGTCAGAACACCCTTGAGTTCTGGAGACAGTCGAACCCCCTAGAGTGGAAGGAACCATTCCAGGGCAGTCCTAGCAAAAAAAGGAGCCCTCGGGCGGACCTGGGCAGGTAGCACCCTGCAGGACTCTGCCTGTCTTCCAGGAGGGCGCGCCTGAGTCAGCCCTGGCATGCTACCGTCCCTGCAGAGACCAGCAGCCACTGAGCTCGCAGTCAGGAAGCGGATCCACGAAGCCTTGTTGGAACTTGTCATGTGGGGAACTCAGGTGTCCTTCAAGACGCCTTCTCACGGCTACACTGCCCATCAGATTGTCGCGCAGATGAGTCACGGAGGGGGGGGGATGTCTCTTGGCCTCGGGCAAGTCGCTGCATGGCCTGCCAGCCTCAAGACAGCATCTTCTGCTTTTGCCACAAGCCTTCCAGCCCACGTCCTCTCTGGCGCATTCCCACTTGCTCCCATGGCCGATCGCTGTTCCTCCCTCCACCTCCCTTTCCCAGAATCTGCTGCCTCACCCTTCCTTCCCTGGGCAGCAAGTCTCCTTAGTAAGGGACACACCCCTGAGTCCTTGCCCCACCTCCAAACCTAGTTGCTGACCCATCTTGCCACCACCCAACAGCCTTAGACCAGCAACCTGCATTTTAGCCCACTTCAATTCGGGATAGTTGCTGCTCTCCAGGGGATGGCTCCAGTCGAGGTCAGCAGCGAGCTCCAATCTGCTGAAACCAGCCTCAAATCTCCTTTAGTGTGGCCTTGCTTCTGTCCTCGTTGAGTAGTTACTAAACCAATTCCACACTTCATGGATCCCATAATGCTAGAAGAGCTTGCATTGTGATGCCCAGCCCTGCACAGCCAGAGCCCCAAGTCCCCTGTAATGTAGGGAGAGGACACAGAGTCCCAGGAGGCCTGAGCGCCCAGAACCCAGGTATTGTGAGATACCAAGAGCTCCTCATGCTGGCTCCATCAGACCTGCATCCGCTCAGCCTCCAGCCTCCTGGGACTACAGCTGTCACACGTCTAGGACTGGGAATACCCTCCCCCTCCACCAGTGTCCCGTTCCCTGTCATGAGGGCTCTTGGAGTTCTGAGTGACAGGTACTCGAGACTAAGGGTTACCTGGTGATCTCTGGTCTTGGACTCACTTGGTGACGCTGGAGCTTGAGTAACAGGCCTAAAGGAAGGTATAGACAGTGGTACCCGGGGACATCACTTCTAACGTCATCATCTGTCCCCCTCAAGCTCAGTCTGATAACACCCAGACCTAAGCTCCCATCACCCTCTCCTAGCCACGGCCAATATCCCTTACAGCCTCCTCCTCCGGCCCCCAAACCAGTCCAGAGGATCCTTCTCAAGACAAAGCCAGCCAGGGGAAGGGGATAAATCTGCCCCTGACCAGTTGGGAGTAGAGACTGGAGTCTGAGCCAGTTGGTACCTGCTGAGAATGAACCCATCCTATGGTTTCCCCTTTACTTTACTCCCTGGCAGGCAGGCCAGGCCATTTCTTTTGTTTAGAAACTGGGCTCCTGTTTAATTGGGGTTTTTTTTTTTTTTTTGGTCTTTCTTTTTTGCACTTCTATGCCACATGCAGTGATTGCAAATTCTTACAGACCCAGTGATTTTTAGAGGTCAAATCGTGATTCTCATACAAATAGAAAATAAATCCACCTAAGATTTGTTGTAATTCATTAATCTATAAGGGAACCGAGAAGATGCAGGAACCAGTTCATAGAGGCACTGGAAGGACAGTGTATAGGCAACTCTGATATACATATCCTTTCCTGGAGGGCCAGAAGGCTCGCTGTCAGGGACGACGGTCTCTGCCCCAGAAGAGAAAAGGGTTCTGACTCTGTGGGAAAAACTTACTTGCTGGCCTGGCCAAGGTGGCTGCCTCCATCTTCCAGAGCTTCAGTTTCTGCAGAGCTGAAACTGCTCTGCCCATGGTGAGGAGTAAGAACACACACCCGTGGAAAGGGAACATTTCCAGAGTCTGCCGGACAGATGTCGGCGCCCCCAACAGGGCAGTCAGCAAGTCTGTTTCCAAGTCTGTGACATCTTTTCCTCCACACTTTCATCATGAAGAGGTTTCAGTGTCGATCTTTATCCCAGCTTTAATTTTTATCCTTTGAAGTTAGACTTTATCATAACTATATTGGCGACTGGAGTTTTGCCTTATCAATTTCCTTCCTGTGTCCTTTGAAAAGATCTTACTGGCGAGCAGAGGCGTTCTTGCATAGTCAATGACATAGCCCCCCCCGCCCCCCCCACATATTGTCGTTTGACTCTGCTTATACAATCTCTCCAGGGGAAAGTAATCCTATGTATATATTCCTCGATATTTCTTCTATAGACCCTGAACAAGCTGTATTACTTAGCCAGGTATTTCTCAATCCCAACCTTTTGCCAATATTACCTATATAAATCCCTAGCATATTTTTGGCTTTCTGGGGTTTTACGCCACAGCTAGCCACTTCTTCCAGGGACAGCCCAATGGTTTTTTAAACATTGCTTTAAAATTTGCTTTATTATTTAGTAATACATCCTTTATGACAAAACTTTCTTTCTCAGGGTCCTCTTTGGAGGCTAGCGGACCAGCAATGGACAAGGTGAACGCCAGCACTGCTTCTGTGGTACTTACAGGGTGTGTTCAGACTTCGTTGGCTCATCCCTTCCATCTTCAGTGAACAGTGAGCAACAGCTAATATCGTGGATGTCAAAGGGTGGGAAGTAAACCTTGACCTGAGAAACGGCGTCCTTGTGTGAAAAGGCTGTGCTAGTTAATTTCTTATCACAGTGATAAAATGCCATGGTCAAGGCAACTTGTAAAAGAAAGCCTTTAATTGGGCTTACAGTTTCAGAGGGCTAGACTTCATGATAATGGAACAAAGGCGCGGTGAAAGCCATAAGCAGGAAGCAGAGAGCACACTGGGAATAGCATGAGCCTTCTGAAACCTCAAACCCCACCCCCAGTGACACACCTTCAACAAGGCTACACCTCCTAATCTTCCCAAACAGTTCCACCAACTGAGACTCAAGTATTCAAACATATGAGCCAATGGGAGCCATTCTCTTTCAAACCACAACAAGGACCAAAAGGGTTTCTTAGGTGCAGGAATTGCTATTGGCTGACTCCTTTCAGTACCTCTACATCCTTAGGCTTCGTTGAATGTGAGGTCACAGTTCTGGCAGGGAGACTCCTCTACCGGGAGGTAGGTCACAGTCCACTCATCTGAGGCCCCAGCTGCAGCCATTCAGAGGTGTCTGGTGTGCTCAGTTCCACTAGAGATGACAAGAGATGAGCTTTGGATTTGGATGACCTTAAGGGTCATGAGGAAAACACATGCTCTGATGTGACAGGGCTGTCTAGTCCACACTGTGCCTTGATCATCCTGGCCTCTTTGTTCTCACAAAGCCAGAGGCAGAAAGACAGATTGTAGGACATCCTTCTGTCCATGTGTTGCTTTCATTGGTTAATGAATAAAGAAACTGCCTTGGCCTAGTTGATAGGGCAGAACTTAGGTAGACAGGGAAGATAGAACTGAATGCTGGAAGGAAGAAAGGTGGAGTCGGAGATGGACACCATGGAGCCTCCAGAGACAGACGTGCCAAATCGTTCACTGACACGTGGTGATATACAGATGAATAGAAATGGGTTGAGATGTAAGAGTTAGCCAATAAGAAGTTAGAGCTAATGGGCCAAGCAATGTTTTAATTAATACAGCTTCTGTGTGGTTATTTTGAGAATAAGCTAGTCGGGTGGCTGGGACAAAGAAGCGGGCCAGCTCTCTTTACAACAACAGATCAACACATAGGATGCTGAGCCTGATTCTCAAGAAGAGCTGGGCTTGCAGGCAGGGAAAAGTCAGACTCAGAACCAGGAACTCACACCAGTGCCTCTTCGTGTTTTCAGGACGGTGATAAACGTGAGAAGCCAGTGGCAGTCACCATGGCCAGCCAAAGTAATGAGACTGAGAGCTCAGAATCCCAGAGAGAGAGAACTGGGGTCCCACAGCCCAGTTAGCAGGCATGATCCCTCTGTGATAAAGGGACAGGGCTCTGGAGCTCACCCATCAGGTTGGATTCTCCTGGGATACACGGACAGTCCCCCACAGCCACTCACTCCCCCAGAACAGCTGAGCTGCTCATCTGTAATATGTGTGGGAAAAGAAGCTGTTGGTGTCCATCATGGTCTCAGGTCTGGTATCATCATGGTACCTGGAGTTGTTGGTCACTACCTCCAAGGTGGCATAGTACCTTCCCAAAGGCACAAGCAGATAAGATTGACAAAGGGAGTGGCCTGCAGTGGACAGCTCATGTTTACTTAGGCCTTTTCCATTCCGACCCAGCTACAGCCTCCACAGCCAGGCCCACAGTGACTTCAGCTAGCTGCAAACCTGTGCAACTCGACTGTTCCTTCTCTTGGACCATCTCTGGCATTCTATGCTGGTGCCTCTCCAAAGACACTGAGATGCTGGTAGAGTCTGCATTGCACTTAGACTCACTGAGTCTGGAATTGTAGGGGTGTCAATATGTGTTCATGTGTGTGTATATGTGTATGTGTGCATGCTTGCGGAGGCTAGATGTCAACATGAGTGTATTCTATCTCTCTCTACCTACTTTTCTGAGACAGCGTCTCCTACGGAATCTGCGGCTTACTAGTTTAGCTAAATTAACTGGACAGCAAATCACCAGTATCCTCCTGTGTCTGCCTCTTCAGGACTAAGATTACAGGCATGAACTAGCACACCCCATTGATATTTGTTTGTTTGTTTTGTATGTGAATATGTGTGTGGGCATGTGCAGAGAACAGAAGAAGGTGTCAGATCCCCTGAAGCTGGAGTTAGAGTCAGCCATGAGCTGCCAGATAGACATAGGTGTTGGGAAGCAGACTTGGGTCCCCTGGGAGAGCGTCTAACCTCTGAGCCATCTCTCCACCCCCACCCCCAGCTTTTTATGTAGGTTTCTGGAATCTGAATTCAGGACCTCATACTTGCCTGGCAAACACTTTGCTAACTGAGCCATTTATTTCTTCAACTCCTCAAGTTGCTTCTTGCTGGGTGTTTGGGCAGAGATGAGAAAAATAATCAATAATAAGGGGTAATTCTCCTGCTTCAGGGACTGACCTAGTAAAGCATCCTTGAGTTGGTTTTCCTTGGACTCTTCATCCTTGACCAGAAGCCCAAAGGCCAGTCTGTCTCAAGCTCTGCTTCCAAAGAAAGATGTCTAAGGTGTGTGCCACCCTAGAAAGAAATGACAGGAAATGACCCCATGCGGTTAGAAAACTGTCATCGGTGTTGTGAAGGGATTGTCTTGCTTTGTCCCTGTACTGCCCAGCAGGATAGCTATTAGCCAGCCGCATGAGGACTGCAGTGTGACGGCGATTTACATTAAGCTGAAATGAGGGTGGAGGGGACGGCTCACCAGGGAAGCACATATCACTGAAGCCTGATGACCTGAGATTTGTCCCTGGAACCCATGCACAAAGCTGGATATCGTGGCACACATCTGTAATGCCAGCACTCCTGAGGTGAACGGGGAAGCAGAGACGGGATGGGAACAGGCAGCTGCAGAGCCAGCCAGCCCAGAGTGTAGCTTAGCAGCACTGGGCCACTCCCAAATGTTGTCTTCTGACTTCCACATGTGTGCTGCGGCCCACAAGCACACACATACACCATTACCATTCTCAATCCCCGCTCCCCCCCCCCCCCACAGACACACACAAATAAATTTTGGTTAAAAGTGAAATGGAATAAGAAAAAAAACTTAATTTCCCTGGTCATACATTTTATGGGCGCAGTAGTCATATGACGAACCATGGCTACTTTGGGGACAACAAAAAGAGCATTTGGGTCACTACAGAACACTCTTTTGACCAACTTGCCCTGAACTGGTTGGATCAGTGCCTGCTGTTTCGTGCCAGATTGCAAATACTAGAGTCACTATCCATCCAGTTTGTGTCTCTGCCTCTTACAAGGGGCACAGATGCCAGACAGGATGTACAGGTAATAGGATGAAGGAAACGGAGGGGAGACTAGCATCTGGCTGAGTGCCAGCTGGCTGCTGGTATTTGCTGAGCACTTACTGCATGTCTGGTGCTACCCCAGACCCTCACCCTGTGTTGCCTGTGAATTCCTCACTATCCTATGGCTGTTATCTGAGTCTACAGAGGAGCAAACAGAAGCTGGGGAGGTGAGCCAGCTTGCCTAGGGCTAAGCACAGCCCACTAGCTACAGCACTGGTTTCTTAGTCTTTCCTGACAAGGGCAGATTGCCCTGGGCACAGTCATGTGTCCATGCTTCCTGCCCTCTCCCCTGAGTAGGACAGGCTCTGAGGCCTTGCTGCCGCTGCCCCTGGGGCCGTCGAACCAGAGACCCAGGCCTGTGATTTGGCAGCTAAGGGAGATGTCCTGCCACTGACTCCACACAGGCTCTATGCATGATGTCAACATCACCACAGCCCAAAGTGTTCTGTGAACTGGCCCAGGTGACAGAAGGCAGTTCCTTTGCATGAGATCTGCACGGTCCCCTGCTCGCCCCAGGTGCTCTCAAGGAGCCAGGATGGAAAGATTGACTCTCCCAGAGCAGGAGAGTGGGTGGCTTTTCCATTGCTAATTGCTGAGGAATCCGGTGAAGTAGTGGAAAAGACACAGAAGGCGGGGAGGCTTGCTTCTCATACTGGCCTGTCCCAGCTTCAAACCAACCCACCGGGGCCGCGGCTGCCACTTCTATCTGCTAAAAACTGGAGGCTGCAATGCCGAGGGTCCGTCCTGTTCTGCCTTGTGAAAACTCAAGTGTCGTGAGACTAAGGAGCGTTGGAGCAGCTGTCGTGACAGCGTGGTCTCAGCCCTTTAGTGGCTGGCTTATAGTGAAGGTCTTTGGGAGCTACAAATTTCATTTCTGTTAAGATGACAAAGGACTTGAGAATCCAAAACTCGCCACCATACCCCAGCTGCCTTCCAAGTGAATCAGATTTGTCAATACACCGAGGGCTTGAGAGACAACCCCCTAACCAGGCCTGGGATAAGTTTTCCAGAATAGGCTATGCCATGTGTCCAGCCACATTGGCGCTTCCTGTTGCCTTGTAGTTGTGCCCGTTGTGAGTACTCAGCCTGGCACTTGAACTAACCAGGCACACGGCAGTCCCCGACAGAATGTACTCCATAACACAGCTATGCTGGTTGTCACAAGAACACAGAATCATGATCGAAAACTGCTGCGTGGCTCACTGGCCTCCTGCTTCGGGAAACAGAACCACATTGCCTTCTTCCCAAGAGGCCAACTACTCCCCAAAGCTGAGAATCTTAAGACTGAATGTGTGTCTCTAAGGAAGTGAACCGCTCACCTGTCCTCTTCACTTTCCATCTCCTCTCCCGAATTTGTCCTGTCCCTGGCCCTCACAGACCCTTGTTAGCACTGATAGGGATGGAAGCCGGGGCTGGGTGCTGACTCCACACAGGCTCCACCCACGATATCAGCACCAGAGTTCGAAGCATCTGTAAATTGCCCCAGGTCACATAACCAGCCCCCTCTTCCACGTGAGATCTTCAGACATTCAAGCATTTGATTCCTGTGCCGGGGTTAGAGGTGGGGTTAGGGCTAAGAGTTTGTCTTGGAGTTAAGACTAGGGCAGAGCCAGGGTTTGGGTCATGTGCAGTGCTTTGTTTTGTACTGTGGTCAAGGTTACGGGTAGGGTTAGGGCTAGGCTTCTGTAATGGTTAGGGTTAGCATTATGGTTAGGGTTATGATGAGTGCCGGGCTAGGATTATGGTACAGTTAGCCGTAGGTTTACGGTAAGGTTAGAAGTAGGGTTAGGATTAGCATTGGGTCTAAACTTACATCTAGAGGTCAGGAGTTATGATTATGGTTAGAACTAGGGTTAGACTTAGGGCCGACTTAGGGAAGAGTCTCATGTAGCATTAGGGTACGAGGTACAGCTGGTTAGAAATTGGTTGGGGCTAGATGTAGGATTAGGGTTATGGTTTTGGCTAGGGCCTGATTAGGGTCACGGTAGTGTTAGGGTTAATGCTACACTTAGGCTTGGGATTGGGGTTGTACAGTGACCCCTTTCCCACAGATCCTCTGTTCACAACTGCTCCTTCTTCTGGAATGGTCTGTGTGCCCCCTTGAAGGTTCCCCTCAAATGGAGTATTCTCAACCCTCCCGTATCTTGGTAGAATCTCCTCGCTCTTGCAGGAAGTCTTTCTGGTCCAGCCAGCCATTGCTGGCCATGCCTCCTCACTCTGGGGTCTCTAGCTGACCTCATCCATTCCTCTGCACCTCTTCTGCTTCTTCACGCAGTCTGAACTCCCCAAGGGTCAACAGGGTTCATGCATGGCTTCAGGAGTTCTTCATAATCCCTGGCCCCAAGGCTACCTCAGCAAATCATCTCCAGGAAGTCAATGACACAATGCCCTCACCAGGGTGACCTGACATGTGCAACCCTGCCCTGTTCTTATAGAGAGAGATCCTTCATTGTCATTTGTCGCTAAGGAAGGTAGTAGGGCCCTGTGTGGTGGCATAAGCCTTTAATCCCAGCCCTTGTGTGGCAGAAGCAGGCAGATCTCTGAGTTTAAGGCCAGTCTGGTCTACATAGGGATTCTCAGGCCAGCTAGGGCCAGATAATGAGACCCTGTGCGGAAGTTTGAATGAGGGTGGTCCCAATAGGATCATATGTTTAACTACTTGGTCCCTAGCTGGTTAGAACTGTTTGGGAAGGATTAGAAAGTATGGCCTTGTTGGAGGAGGTGTGTTACTATGGATGGACTTAAGGTTTCAAAAGCTTCTTGCTATTCTTAGTGCGTTCTACCTCACCCGTCATCAGGTACTCTAACCCTCGGAAGCCATAAATCTCAAATAAACTGTTCTGAAAGTTGCCTTGGTTATGCTGTTTCATCACAGCCATAGAAAAGTAACTAAATATATATATATAATATGTGTGTGTGTATGTGTGTGTGTGTGTGTGTGAGAGAGAGAGAGAGAGAGAGAGAGAGAAAGAGTAAAAACAAAGCTAGTAGAGTTCTCGGACTTTCTACATACTCCCATTTAATACTGGGGGAAATTGAGGCCTGGTCAAGGACAGCTGCTCTTGCTTCTATCCTGGGCAGAACAGAGCAGGCTCTCCATCACAAAGGGCCACGCATGTATAAAGGCACACCAAGACCTCCTTACTCCAAGAGCCACCTGGGAGCCCCAGGGAACCTGCCCTCACACCATGTCTCTGCAAGATAGGCAGATAGAGCTCACAAACGTTTACCAGACAATAATAGCGAGTCTCAGAAGGACAAGTGATAGGTAACCAGTAAGTTGCAGGATAAGCTGGGCTGAGGTTTGGTCTCAAACCAGTGGAAGATGCTAGAATCTCTTGGCCCAGAATGTGTGCATGAACATCAGTCCAGGCTTCCTCCAGTTAGTCACGTGATTACAACAGTCTGCCTGCAAAGCAAACTTGTGTAGTGCTTGTAGGGACCTGGGTACAGCCTCCTGGACTGTACTCAGCAGCTCTGGTGAAGTCCGTTCTCTGAGCAGCCACTTTGAGAACTGGGAGGAGCCTGTTAAGAAGCCTTTCTTCTGTAATGGGGACCTCCCGCACCACTCCATGTAGGGCACAGCCCAACAGAACTTTAACCTGGGCCTCAGAACCAAGATTTTGAGTGCAAAGAGAGAGGAGGGACTAAGGAGAAAACATGGGCAGAACCCAAGCAAGACCTCTCCGTGTGAGGTGGGTCTTTATTCTTCACATTTATTAAGTGTGCGCGCATGTGTTCATGGTGTGTGGATGTTAGAGAACAAACTTCTAGTCCCGGGAATCAAACTCAGGTCCCTGTGCTTGGTGGCCAATGACTTAACTATCTGAGTCATCTTTATGGTCCCAGTCTTTATCTTCTTATTGATCATTGGAGTATTTAAAATATCATTCTTATTAAAGGAAAGTGGGCAGG